TCTTCATGTCGTCGACGTGTAAGTTCGGCTTCTCTATTGACTCATCAGGAAAAACCCTGGATAACCATGATGGGCGGGTGATATGACGAGTTTACCGGCCTACATCATCGTGTCCGAATCGTAGACTAGTGATTAAGCAGAACTCCTTCCGCCCAAAACAAGTATACGCCGGTGGAAAATGAAACCATATCTCTTCCTCACCACGTTGTATACTGTCGGGTAGATCGCTAGTCATGATCTGAAGCCACAAATGGGTCAAATTAGCATCTCCACCCGGATGCTGTACTCTCAGCCATGGCCCGAAGCAGGTTTCTTCAAACAATTTTCTTTGTGCAGGTGAAAGCTTCGAAGCAATTGTAGTGGCTAGGCTAACTTTATTCCTTAATGTCAATGAAGCCGAAAAAAATTTCTACAAAAACAATAAACATACCAAGTTAGATATACCAAAAACTACACTGTCAAGATATACCAAAAACAATAAACATAAATAGTAGTTTATTCTTGAAACTAAAATTTGCAACACTGTTTTGTCTTTTGGTTGAAATGAAAATCGCAACGAGATAATGAGAATCGCAACGCGGAAATGACTATCGCAACGCGAAATGACTATCGCGACGAGAGAATCGCAACGCGAAATGAAAATCGCAACGCGAAATGAAAATCGCAATGCGATTTTGGTTTCGCGTTGCGATAGTTATTTCCGCGTTGCGATTTTCATTCTCGAAACTATTCTTCTTCTGCATTACTTCAACCAAAAGACAAAACAAAGACAAATACTAACTTCACAGGCTAAACAGTTTAGCAGTATTGGCAGCAATCGAATGAATTTAATAAGAAATCTAAGTGAAATGGTTAATCTATTATTGAAATTACCAGTAAACTTATCATCAATCTCAATATGAAAAACCTAAACTAATGCAAAAATTTCAAAATAAAATTAAAAAAAACTAACACTCGGAGGTTGATTTTCCATTTCTGAATGATTGTGAGGGATTTTTGACTGTGAATGGTTGTGAGGTATTTCGCCGGCGATGGGGACGGAAATCTTCGGAGATGGGGATGTATTTCGCCGTAGAGAGTGAGAGATGGAGATGGGACTGAGTGTTGTGATTTTGGGTTTGAGGTTATGAGTTGCGATTACTGTGGACGGTTCAATTTCTGATTTATTAAGAAAAAATTCGTGTTTGAAATTTGAAAAAAAAAATACGCGTTAATACGAATGGCGCTATGTAAATCGCGTTGCGAAAGTCAGAATCGCGTTGCGAAAGTCAGTATCTCGTTGCGATTTTGTATTATCGCATTGCGATAGTCAGTATCGCATTGCGATTTTCCCAATTCGCGTTGCGAATTGGGAAAATCGCAACGACACTGTAGACCATCGCAACGCGATTTCCAACTATCGCAACGCGAAATTGCGATAATGGAGATCGCGTTACGAATTAGCGATCGCATTGCGATTTTGTTGGTCATTTTGGCAAATCCGGAAAAAATTGGTTAAAATCGTATATTATAAGGCATTTTTGGTCACTGAGGCGATTTTCTCTATTTTTAAATACCAAGTTACTCGTAATGTTTAAAGAGCTATACATTAGGAGCCGTCCAGCGTTGGAATGCATAGCCCCAGACTTCCATGAAACCACTGATCTCAACATTTTCATATTGTGGATGCTCCAAATATTAAATTTTTTCCGCGAGGATTAGACAGGCTCAACCATCTCCAAGAGATTTCTCTATTTGATTGTTCAAATCTAGTGGCTTGTTTCGAAGAAACTAGGTTGCCCACCACAAATCTCAGAGTTTTCTCAATGACAAGGTGTGAACATATTGCATCCCTTCCAAAGTGCATCAACAACTTCACCTTCCTTCAGGAGTTCAGGGTGTCCAACTGTGGGGCTGACATATCCTTTCCAGAAGAGGGTTTCCCTGTCAACTTAACATCGCTTGAAATCTCAGTCGCACCTAAAATTTATAGCTCACTTGTGGAATGGGGATTCCATATACTTACCTCTCTTCAGAGACTCGAGATCAGTGGTGAAGAATGCTCAAAGGTAGTGTCGTTTCCAGAAGAAAGTATAGGCCTCAGTGTAAGCTTTCTATCACTCTTTATACGAAGTTGCAGTGTCCTTCCTTTTGAACTTAAAAGTGACGTGAACAAGATGAATGTTTATGACAGGGTACGTAATGGATATATGGAGTAGCGTATTGATATTACAGGTACTGACCTCTCTTTTAAGTATTATCCATTTATGATTGAGAGCTGCCAGGATGTGCACTTTCGTTTTCCACATTTTAATATTCATTGTGGCCAGGTATTGCCCAGATTGAAAAAAGTTTGTGGATCATTATTGCCTGCAAAAATAGCCTACTTTGGAACTTCATATGCATCAGTGGCCGTCCCCCGCTAAACAACGCTGCAAAAGTTTGTTGATTGTGGATTGTTATTGCCTGTATCACTGTTAATTAACGTATGCTCTTAATGCATATATTCTGTTTATAAGACTTATAAATTAATGATTTTTCTACAAAAATAATATCCATTTTTTTATCGCTTCACTTTATATATATTTATACAAGTGAAACATACTTAAATCATGTTTGAATTACTTGTTTGCCTATGCCTACTTAAAGTTGGGTCCATTTGGACAGTTCCTTTGCCGGCCAATTGCATTCTCTTAGTAGCCAAGGAAGGAATTTCAACCATCCAATCGTCAATGACCGGTAGTGGTATAACAAAAAATTTAAAGTTAATTTAAGACGATTTTCAACCTAAAATATTATATCAATTTATAATATTTTAGTTGCAATCAAATAATTACTTTAAAAAAGATTAAGAATTTATAAATAAAAATGTTTTAAAAATATATATAATATTTTAAGTTGTAACAAAAAAAATATTATAAATAACTAACCTTTTAAATTTCGTCTCAAAAAGTAACTAAGCAAGTAAAAACTTTTGCATTGTGAAGCAATCATATTCCCTCTTCCATTTCAACGCCAAAGGAATGAAGTTTACCTATTCAGTTTTTATAATAAATAAGCAAATAAATCAATATAAAATTAATTATTAATTGGATTCTGACAACGTTAGTATAGTTCCGATTTTGAATGTTAAAGTTGTAGATCTGTATAAACTATATTTATATTTACATATAGTTTAAATTTTTTAATATTTTTTTATATAAAGAGTTATTTCGGTATATATTGTATTGAATTATATTTTGTTTATATCAAAACTTTATTATTATCCATTACATTATTGGATTTATTAAACTAATGCTTCTTAATCTGATCTATTCAATAATAATTTAAATTTATTTAATTTTAATCGGTAAGTCTGATTATGATTTAAATGTTTGACATCTAAAGCTTACCAAAGAGGTTATATATTATCATTAGTTTTACGTCACACTGGCAGAAAACCTTCTTTAAAACTTCCTTGATTATGCTAAGACAGTGTACTTTCTTTAACAGTGTCTAATGTAATTTATGATATAATGTCACCGGTTAACTGAATCTATTTTTTATTACTCCAAATTAAAAAAAAATCAAATAAACTTAAAATGGGACTGCGTCTTGAGAAATATTTGTGTGCACTATATTTCATTTATAAATATTTAAATTATATAAAAATTTAAAATTTTTAAAGAGAGTGATCATTTCAGTATTTTCTCGACTCATTTTTACTATGACACAATTAGTAATGTAATATATATTAATATTACTTCATTCATTTAACACACGTGCTACTCATGGCTTCAACTATAGTAGGAGAAAAAGTATAGAAATTTAAAGCATGCAAACTAACAATTACTTTGCCTTCCTTTCCATGAAAATGCATCAATGTCAATTCTTAGTGCTAACCCTTTTCTTCTTCCCCCCCCCCCCCTTATTTGGACGAATTAACCAATGGAAAACAATAACACAAAAAGTAACCTTATGCAAAAAAAGAAGAAGGAAAAAAGCAATTTAAAAAGGAAATAGAGAATCTCTTGAATATAACCAGAGTATCCTTCTTCCCCTCCACCATATATTAACTCAATGTTGTCACCTTGTTGAAATGTTCAGTCATAAGTTGAGTTTTTCTAATTTAAACCCCTAAAGATGGCAATGAAGAAGCAAATGAAAACCCAGTTTTCTATTCATAACACCCTTCATTTGCTTGCTGGAATATCATTCGCTTGCATTTTGTTTTTCTCCGAAATTCCTTCTCTATGTTCATCAATGAAGCAGTCTCTTTTAATCTCTCTCCCCTGTATCTGGTCTTCATTCTCCAACCCTAAGTGCTTGTTTGTAGTTGTTAATGTTATTGTCATCTTCCTTGTTAGTGAATCCGGGGTTGTTGGTTCAAAGAAACGTCTTGTGGCTCCCAATCTCTACAAAGAATACATCAAACGGAGTCGTGGCCAGATTAGGGCAGTCTCGGTGTTGAATGAAGCTAAAAGGATGGATTGTGAAGAAGAAAAAGGGTTGTTGGAAGTGGAGGAAGTGATTACATGCGAGTCCGAATCTTTGGAGGAATGCATCGATGAATACATTGAACGGAGTTGGGGCCGGGTTAGGGCAGTCTCGGTGTTGGATGAAGCTAAAAGGATGGATTGTAAAGAAGAAAAAGGGTTTTTGGAAGTGAAGGAAGTGACTACATGCGAGTTCGAATCTCTGGAGGAAGCAACATGTGAAGATATTGCAGAAGAAAATGAAAGGGAGATTGTTGAAGAAGAAACTTTTGAAGTTGCAAAAGAGATTAATGAAAGGGAGATTGTTGAAGATGAACAAGTGGTTGAATTGCCTTCCGAGGAACTTAATAAAAGAGTTGAAGATTTCATTGCTAGGGTTAATAAACAAAGGTGGAGGGAAACTCAATTACCTGTGTTGTAAGGAATAATTATTATTATTAGAAATTTAAGGTCTATATATATATATATATAAGTAGGCATTGTCTAGGATCAAAACCCGAACTTGAATGAATAGCCCGATCCTTAGGTCTATATGACGGGGATCTGGCTCTCAAGAACTATTCCATTTTCTCATTCAGAAATTCAAATCAGTGTACAATTTCTAGTTACTTACGTATAATGGAAGATTACACAGTATAAAATTCAAACGATACTGTGTTGCATACAGAGCGAATTACTTGTACAACTTGTCAAGATTCTGCTTAAACAGAGACCGGAGAGGGTACCGATGGAGGGACCCGATTTTCGGCTGGGATTTCAACAAATTCTGAAAGGATTGCCCTGAATTCGTCCCCGCTCATTGTTTCCTTCTCGAGGAGGACTTCGACGATCTTGTCAATGGCTTCACGGTTGTTCCTTATGTGATTCAATGCAATCTCATAAGCGCTGTCTGATAACCTCTTCACAGCAGCGTCGATATCTTCTGCAAGTTTTTCAGACATTGAGTTTCTTGCCATCATTCTCATGATGACATCTGCACTCTGGGCTGATGAGTCCATAAGAGACCATGGACCAATTTCAGACATTCCAAATGTCACCACCATCTGCAAAGTGATCGATTCACAGTGTCGTTAACTGGATCAAATGGTTCCTAGGGAACTCATGGCATAGGGCTAAACCGTAGATATGCAGGTAATCAGACAAAAGGGACTCGGCTTATAAGCTTAACACAAGCACCACCAACTCACTGGTGATTGAGCATTGTATTTGTAGAAATAAGAATGCAGTATGCTATGAAAATCTATGCATATAATTTCTTCATGCACGATTTCAAATAGAAACCCATCAAGAAGCAAGGAATGACACGTAAAATTTACAGATGTTCAAAATTGAGCTTGAAGTGGAAGATTATAAATGCACAATTACCTGTTTAGCCAAACCAGTAATCTGCTGCAAGTCACCAGCTGCACCGGTTGTCACCTCGGGCTCACCAAAGATGACTTCTTCTGCTGCCCTGCCACCGAGTCCACCAACAATTCTTGCAAAGAGTTGCTGCTTCGAGATCAGGGTGGGGTCATCTGAAGGAATGAACCAGGTAAGACCACGTGCCTGGCCACGAGGAACTAAGGTGACCTTTTGAACAGCATCATGACCTGGTGTCAAAGTTCTGAGACACAAAGGAAACGAACGATCATAAGTTTCCAAAAATGTCACTTCAATATAAAACTTAAAGTATTAACAGATAATATGAACAAGCATGCATAATGAGAGATGAAAAGGCCATTTGACGAGTACATGATCGACAAAGAGTGAAGTAAGATGCTCTTGTTTCACTCACCCACATATAGCATGGCCAACCTCATGGTATGCAACTAAGCTTTTGCTCTTTCCATCTGTCATAACTGTTCCCTCCATTCCGGCCACAATCCTATCAATTGAATCATCAATTTCTTTAGATGAAATAGCAGTCTTGCCACGTCGGCCAGCCAATATAGCAGCTTCGTTTAACAGATTTGCAAGATCTGCTCCACTAAAACCAGGTGTTCTCATGGCTATAACATCAAATGATACATCAGCATCAAACTTCTTATTGCTACCATGAACCTTTAATATCTCTGTTCTGCCTCTGATATCCGGAACATCAACAGTGACCTGCATTAAAGCATCATGTTGGAACTTTGTTGTCTAGATCATAAGAATGATACAAACAATAAGTATATATTCTTACCTGTCTATCAAACCGTCCTGGCCTCAACAAGGCAGAATCAAGAATGTCAGCCCTGTTAGTTGCGGCAATTACGATAATACCCGTGTTACCCTCAAAACCATCCATTTCAGTCAAAAGCTGATTAAGAGTTTGCTCCCTCTCATCATTCCCTCCACCAATACCAGTTCCTCTTTGTCGTCCAACAGCATCAATTTCATCCACAAAGACAATACATGGGGCATTCTCCTTGGCCTTCTTAAAAAGATCACGAACTCGAGAGGCACCGACACCAACAAACATTTCAACGAACTCAGAACCTGAAATGGAGAAGAATGGCACGCCAGCTTCACCGGCAATTGCCTTGGCAAGAAGAGTCTTTCCAGTTCCAGGAGGGCCAATGAGAAGAACACCTTTAGGGATGCGAGCCCCGACTGCAGTAAACCTCTCTGGCTTCTTCAAGAACTCGACAACCTCCATGAAGTCCTGCTTCGCTTCATCAACTCCAGCAACATCATCAAATGTCACTCCAGTGTTAGGCTCCATCTGAAACTTTGCTTTTGATTGACCAAAGGCAAGAGGGAAGCCAGGACCACCCGGGCCACCCATTCCTCCAGATGATCTCCTCGAAAGAAGGAACAACCCTCCAATCAAGATTAGTGGGAATGCGAGATTGCCAATTAAGTTAAATAACAGTGAACCAGATTCTTCTTGAGCATTATGGGCAGCGAAGTCAATGTTCTTTTCCCTAAACTTCTGAAGAAGCTCTTGGCTGAATCCTGGAAGCTGCACACGAACTCGTTGAACACGGTTTCCCAACTCGGGGGAGACGGCCTCCACGATAGCTATCGTGCCATTTTCATACAAATCCACCTTTTTAACCCTGTCCTTGTCCAAATACTCCAAAAACCTAGAGTAGGACATTCTTGAGGAAGAAACCCCTTGTTCACCGGCATATGCTTTCCCATTTCCTAGTAAAGCTGGAACTCCAATTCCAGCACTTCCAAGTAACGACAGTAAGAATTCCCTTCTTCCTTCATGCTGTTTAGGTTTTAACGATGCCTTTACAAGGACACAATTTGATCTCCTACCCAACGTTGAGATGCTGGGGGTAAATACAAAATGCTTTCCATAGAAGTCTCTGCACAACTTTGATTTTGTTCTGTGAGTAGACAGACCATTCCCTAGCAGGCAAGCTGATGATGCTGCCATCTGCACTATAAACGAACGCTCGAGATTACAAAAGCACTCTAATTATTCAACTATTTAAGTCCATAAGCGCAACTGAGTATGACTTGAATTTTAGTTCGGAAAATAAAGGAGCAAATAAACAGACTAAGTTCAACTATCCACACAATAAGACGATGAGAATAACGGTCAAGCGTGTCAAGAATGTAATACTATCACACCGGACAAGTTTACTTCAGTTAATTATCAACCACCACAGGAAGCAATAGAAAAAGAAAATAGTCTAATTGTGAATTTCATCCCTCTACTTCACGAAGACTGAGAAGATAGTCCAATTTAATTGTTGAGCTGAAAATCAGCAATTTAACATTTAAATGCACGAAATTAATAAAAATCAACAATTTATATACAACAAATCTGCAAAAATCAACAGCTCAAGTGCACGTGTTTCAACAACTGAACTTACATTTCAGTTTTCGTCAAATAAATTGAACAAATTCTGACAAATTAAAGTAGAAGACAAACTTCTCAGCTTTCATAAAGTAGATAGATAAAATCCATAATCAGACAAAAGAAAATTCAAACTTTCTTTCCCAAAACTTCAAGTGATAGAAAACCCATTTGGGGGATTGATGATTCAGCCAGCTTTTTTCACAAAGCAGATGTAAATTTAGAGGCATATCAAGAGCATAAAAGAATAATAAGATAGACCCACAAATTCAATCACTAGAAAACTTCATTCAAAACACTGAACCATACTATACATCCAAGTTCTCAAGCAAATACTGCATCCTTTTTCCGAGCCCTCGGAAAACTTAGCACAGTTTAAGCACAAAGGAAGTTACCTTTGAAAGTGGGAGGCTAGGATGAACAACAGAGGAAAAAAGGAACCAAAATGAGATTGGTTAATGCTCTGGGTCGGTGTGGAGTAGAGAAATGGGCTAAGGGAAGCAATTGAAATTGGGAAATAAAGGGGTGAGAATCCGATATTGGATGTGGTTGGGAAGACAATACGTGGCTCTTTTAGAATGACTGGCTATTTGTCAAATTGGTTGCTTTCTGTCGCAACCGTCTTTCAGTTTTGTCCCGGAATTGGGCTTCGACTTGAAAAATGTAGATTGGGAGTCGTCACCGATCATTTATTTATTTATTTTTTTTAAAAAAAAAATGGGTTGACCGGATACCTTATTTCTTACCTGATCTGCGTCTTACCAGAAATATGTCGGATTCGGGAGTCGGTTACGGTCAAGGAAGGATTAGCACCCTTGAACCGCCCTTGCGGTACCAATTAATTCGTCGGTTGTCTTTAATTGCGAAAATTGGAATTTAAATTAAAATTAAAATTATTCGATCCAAATCACTTACCCTTTGATCGATTGAAATTACGACTGAAACAAAATATGTTAGATAAGAAAAAAAAAGAAACAAGAAAACAAAATGTTAATATGATAATAAAAGATAAATAAAAAGATAATAGAGATGAAAGAAAAATATTTAAAAAAAAAATTAGGACCAAATTGAAACAAATTGAGTTTAATGGATTAGAAAATGAGCTGCAAAAGAGCAAATAAAAAGTTAGGGGACCAATTCACAAAATATAAAAAAATATAAACATGGACGAAATTGATTAAATTGGGAATATGGAGGCAAATTTACAGATGGTGACCAAAATGAACTACGACTCAAAGTATCAGGGACCGCGGAAGGAATTTAAGAATCTTGTATTTGCGGAATAGTCCTTGGTATATAAATAAGCTAAAACACATTATTTCATTTCATTTCCACATTTACTCTCAAATTCTTTCTCCCTCAGCCGAGAGAAAGCTCTCAACTCTCCCAGAAGACGGCCAAAATCCGGCCACCACTCCGGTGGCCACCCACCGCGTCGACCGCCAAGCCGGCAGCCGAAAAAAAAAACCAAACCTCTCCAAATAACCTCCTCTACCTCCTGAACACTAATCCGTAGACAAAATCCCCCAGAACGGCCCCCAAAAACGTAGATCTACGTTTTTAGTTTCGGTTATTACCTCACCGGTGATGACTTTTCGGCTCCCGATGTGTTTGGCTTCGAATGGTTTGTGGTTCACTGTTGTTTTTTGTTGTTTGTGATGTTGGCTTGATGGTTTTTGGTTATTTGATATGAGTTTGTGTTTTTTAGTGTTTGGTTATGATGATTATGTTTTTGTGTGGGTTTGATGGTATGGGTTTTCTGTGTTTACTCTTGGCTCTCGGTTCTGTGGCTTGGCTTTTGTTGGCCGATTGCTGTTCTCGGCCGATCCGTTCTGGGTTTACCCCGATCTTGTTGAGGTTCGGTGAACTGTGTTTCTCCCCCCTCTGTTCCCCGTCGCCCGTGGGTTTTTATAACCCCCACTGGCCGTTGTGAGTCCCGACGATCTCGGGATCGTGGTTGTTGTGGCCGGTCATCCCGGGATGGATCAGTCCCGGGGATCTCGGCCGGCCGTTGGCACTGTTGACCGTTTGGCTCCCTGACTGCTTGGTGACTGAAAACTGGGAACCCTAATCTCTTGCTGGGCTAGTTCAGGCCCAAACTTGGACTGGATTCTTGAACCTGGACCCTGCACAAAAATAAATGAGAAATAAATAAATTAAAAGTAAAAATAAATAATAATAATATATATATATAAACGTTTTCAAAAACATATAATATATAAATTTTTAAAATGTTTTTTAAAAAAACTATATATTATATATATTTTCAAAATGGTTTTTTAAAAATTATATATTATATAAATGTTTTCATAACGTTTTCAAAAGTATATATTATATATATTTTAAAAACGTTTTCAAAAACTATATATTATATAATTTTCAAAAATATTTTAAAAACTATATAATATACATATTTTCAAAAAATGTTTTAAACTATATATTATATATGTGTTTTCAAAAACAATTTGCAAACTATATAAATATATATGTGTATATATGTATAAAATAAAAAATGTGGACGGAAATTAGTGTCTACACTTTCGTTTATTAATTTTCACATTTGCACTGATTTTATCAGTTCGTATAACGACTACAACCCAGATTCTATCGTTTATGGTTGGTAATGTTGTTACGTATTAATCTTCTATGGACTATGATATCAGTGTTTTCTTTATCGTTTTTGCTTTGATTTCTTGAACCAATTTGTATTGGTTCTATATAATTGGTGGTTTCAATTTTTTCTTAAACAATTAAATAACTTTTAATTGGATAAATTATGTCAGATATTATTTTTATTTTGTTTTGATCACTAAAATTAAAAAAAAATGTTTCAATTTATTACGATTTAATTTTAACTCATATTATTTGACACGTGAGTGAAAATTTTAATTTTTAATTTAATTATCAATTTTAAATGAAATATCAATTCCATTCTTAAACTTTTGTTTTATTATTTTTTATTTTCTCAAAAAATTCTAAAACTCGATTAAAATCCCCACCCCGACCACTGCTTTTTTACCGTCGTCGGCCATCAACAATAGCAATTGGATTCCAAAATTTTCAATTAATCAATTTTGATCTTTCGATCCTAAATTTAATATATGTTTCACCAAAAACTAGCCTATAAACTTATAATGATATAAAATAATAACAAATAATTTCTTAATATTTCTATTAGTAAAGACAATTCATGATAGGATAACACATACTGTAGTTATAGTCAAGTGATAACATTTACCTGTTTGAAATATGATCCACAGGATTTCTTTTTCCTGTGTACTTTTTTCCCCTGCAATTTGACTAAGGAAGAAACCGGTTTACAGCATTTCGACCTACCATTAGGGCAGCTACAACTATAACTTCAAGAATTCATGTAAATTGTCATGGTCAATGGATCCAATGTTCCAATTGCGTTGTCTGTTATCCGCATCTGCCGATGATATATCTAACACCCTATGATGATAAGCGTACAACGTACGACGATGGCCGATACTGATATATGTAATGCCCGCTGCCTTCATCTTCTCATACAAATGGGCCTGTATGTGAACATGATTGATATAAATCTTAATCTCGGATGGGATAATGGTTTTTAACACTCTAGGTGGTTTAAATTGAATGAACGGAGTCATACCTCGTTGGCTTCATCTAAAGCGCTGGTGGATTCATCCAACAAGGCCAACTTTGGTTTAGAAAGCAATAAGCGTGCAAAAGCGAGGCGTTGTTGCTCGCCAAGGGAAAGAACACTGGACCACTCATATACCGTGTCAAGACCTTTGAAGCGAGACAGGATATAACCAAGGCGAACATCTTCTAAAACCTGGGTTAAATCATCTGTTGTAGGAACACGGACACTATGCTTTTCACCCGCATTTTTGGAGTCTCGTACTCGTGTCAAGAAAGGCAATGAACCTGCACTTTCAGGTTAATAAAGCTTTAATGGTAAAAACCAGTGAATGGTCTTGGTATTTTTCCTCATGTTCTCTTTAGCGGGATAAAAGTACCGTATCAATGAACACGGATGCAAATACACCCAAGACACCAATAAATACTAATAAGGTTAAAAAGAGCCATACAGCAAATCGAAAAATGTTAGAAGTTAACAGAAGTAATAGATGGTTAAAGTTATCGACCAAAGCATAATAAGTTAAAGTCAGCCAAGAATTTTTCACATTTCTGGTGAACCATTAGAAGCATCTGCTTAGCTCCATGATAATTCATCTAAACAAGATGCAACTGGGTACAGATTTTTTTTGAAACCTAAACAAAGGAATGTCTTGAATGCTGAGAATATCAAATCTATGGCGAGAATTAGACAAAATATTGCTTGAAAGCCAAAAATAAATTGTTTGAATAGTGCTATTAAAGCCTCAAACTCACACATTGATTTGTATCAGATATTCGTCGAAACATGCATAAAGTAAAGAAGGAATCTTATTTTGTATAATAAGACTGCTCAGAATATATTTACAGTGGATATTCACTGATCAGATAGCAGATATGTTGCACAAGATTAAAATCGGTTTTTGTATATATTTCTTACAAGGAAAATTAATTTCCTTCCATGCATCCCATTCTTTTCGTTTTAAATTACACATCACTGAGAATCCAGGGTGCTGTACATTTAACCATGAGTGAGAAAAGTAGAGAGAGAAAGAGAGCGGGTGCGTTTGGTCGTTCATTCTCCGGTGAGGAATGAACTGTTTTTCTTGGAAATCTTAGTAAGAGAGTTACCAGAAGTGAGTTAAGAGAGATTTTCAACCATTATGGTAGAATAGTGAGGGTCTTTATCCCAAGTTTTATGGTTAAAACTTTAGACACCAATTTTTTTGTCAAAGTTAAAAAATATTATTAAATTATTATTATTATTATTATTAGTATTATTAAGTGTGTTTATATTTTTGTGCAGGCCAAATGTGGTTTAATTATAAGGAACCCAACAGACCCACAATACCAAGCCTCTCCACCGACGAGTCACTAAGGCTAGTCACCTCTGAGCAAGTTGAAACATCATCTTCACCATGTCGGCCACTGAACAGCAAAAACAAACAAACAATATCAGCAAAGTCAAAAGCATATCACCTAAATGATACCTAACCTGTCAATATCCTACCAAAAACGAAGAAAATGTAGATGCATCCATTAAGATTAGGTGGAGATATCAACCATAAAATAGGCAAAGGATTAGAGGAGAAGGAGGAAAAAAAAAGGATCTCAAACACAAGAGCGTGGGCTCTCGGTTTTCAACAAACAAAAAAAAAGAAACGAAAACAAAAAAAAATAGAGAGAAAAAAAATCGAAAAAGTTTGTAATCATCTGAAAATTATCAATATACAGAGAAGAAAATTTTCAGATTCAAGAACTATATTTTTTCTAAAGGTATCATCTCCCTTTGCATTTTAATTTCATTCAAAATATAGTATAAGAAACGAAAAAGAAACTTTCTTTTACCTTCGGTTTTGGTGAGCGCCGTCAGTCAGAGAAGATCGGAGAGGCTCTTCTTGGTTGGTTTAAAGCTAAGAATAGAGGAAAAGATGAGGCTTTTGGTGTGTTAGGTTTAGTTCTGGGATTCAGTCGAAAAGAAAAAAAAAGTAACAAAATTTAAAGTTTTTTTAGGCTTTTGGCCTTATGTTTCGATTTAGAAGGAAAATATGGTCATTTAGGGGGACAGAGCTAGAGTGAAGAAGGACCACCATATACGGTGGTCAGTCCTCTCATGGCTCTCGTGAAGCCTCCTGATTAAGAAAAAAGAGAGAATGATAACAGGAAAGAGAGAAAAACAAAAGTGAAAACCCATTTTGGGTTCTGGCTACCAAACGTAAATGGCTAATATTAGCCTAAATATCAAGTTTTGGGTTAATTACACTTAAGATACCTTACTTTAAGCATGAATTTGTATTACTGTCACCATCCTTTATATATTTTGGTTTATTTGCATTATTAACTCTCTTACTATACTAATAATTATTCTAACCCATAGACATATTTGGCTTTTAACCCTAACATTTTACCTTCTTACATTTCCATTCTTTTGTTTCCTTAATTTAAGTACTTTAAATTTTTTATTTACATTCTTAGTGCCCGAATCCCTATGTTCATTTATTTCATTTTTAGCACTGTAATTTTATTAATTTCAATTTAGTCATTGATTTTAGGTGTTATGTATTTTTGTTGATTTTCGAAATTTGGTCCCGATATTAATAAATGTTTTATTTTAATCATTGTTTTGCAGTTGGTTAAATTACTGTTTGATCCTTTATATTTATGTTCATTTTATTTTAGTCTTATATATTATTTATGGGTTATCTATACTTTTGGTGTTATTATTTGACATTTACGATTTAGTCATGAATAAATATTTTATTAGTATTTTAATTTATTATGTTTGTAAAAATATATTTTGAATTTTTTTTGTAATGATTCGGTAATTTTATTCTCACAAACAAAAATGAAAATACATAAAGGATAAAACAAGATGCATAATAGCTAGGTTGCACCAAGGTACTTAAGTACCTTCCAGTTATTTCCTTAGAAAGTAGAAACTCTTGGGAATGAAAATTTCCAGTTCCCAAGATTTTTAACCTTACGTAAATATATATATATATTCCCAAGATTTCTCATTAAATCAAGCAGCTAATAATTTTTGGTCCCTAAATCCAACATTTTTATGTTTCTAATTTTGTATCTTTATTTATATTTTATTTCAGTCCCTATAATTTAGTTATAGTATTTTTTAATATTTTGATTTTGGTTATAATATTTATAATTGTTTATTTTAGTCTTTACTGGATGTTTGACTTAATTACTATTTAATCCTTTTATTTTTGAATTCATCCTATTTTAATCACTGATTTCATGTTTTTTCCTTAAATTTCGAAAATTAGCTATGCAATTTGTAAATATGTTATTTTAGCCACTAGTTAGTATTTATGTTTAATTATAATTCATGTTTCTTGTTTTTTTATTTTAGTATTTATTTATTCTGTTAATAATAATGAAACTTGACCAAACATATATGGGATTATGGTTTCTAGCTGTAATAGCACCGACATAACATATTTGAATGTGTAATGCTTTAGGTAAATAAATATTTTAAGAACAAATCAAATGCACACCATAATTATTCCAACTTTTTTTCGTTAGTAACAAAACATGAATAGGAGGAACGCTATATTTTCACGTGAAGTACAAAGCACACAGTATATAAACTGATTAAATAAAGGGTCCTGTTTTATTTATTAAGTCCTTTAATTTATTTTTTTTCTTTTTTTAATTCTTTAAGTTCTATCTTTGTTATTTTGGATCTTTAAACTCTTGTAAATAATATTTTAGTCATTTGAGTTTTTATTTATTTTATTTAGGTCCTTTGAGTTTCTGTTTTTGTTATTTTTGTCCTTTAAGTTTTTGAAATTACTGTTTAAAATTTAAAAGTTTTTGTTTTTGCCATTTTAGTCTTTTAAATTTCATCTTGTGATATTTGGTCTTCAAAATTTATATTTTTTACTATTTTAGTCTTTTAAATTTCTGTTTGTGTCATTTTAGTCCTTTAATTTTTTAATTTTGTTATTTTGATTCTTAAGGTTTTTTTATTATTTTAGTCTTTATAAATTTAAATATTTATTGTTTGCTATTTTTATTTTGATTTGTAATATTTATTTGTTTTATTTCAGTTCTTTGAATTTCTTATTTAAGTTATTAATTTGAAGCAAATTAATTAAATTTCAATAAATGGATCATAATTTAATTTTATATTTAATTCATGATTTTCACCATTTACGACAACGTGTAAGCGAAACAGTACCAATTTTGGGCGCTGTGGGGGTGCTAATCCTTCCCCACGCGTAACCGACTCCCGAACTCGTTTTAAACGAATCTTTGGTAAACGCAGGCCATCTTTTGTCTTAAAAAAATGATTTTTCTTAAAATTGTTTTTAAAAGACGTTTTTAGGTATTCGACCTACTTAACCCAAAGGTTGATGACGACTCTTTTTAATTCTTTTTAATTTATTTCAAATTACTCCAAAATCACCCATTTTCCAAAATTAAAAGTCGTAACTATTATTTTCAAAACAATTAAACAATTGTTCCTCCCGGAAAACGGTTACGACAGCTTGGCGACTCTGCTGGGGACCAGAATTTTTTAGAGAGTCAGTCTGTAAGTCGCTTACACATTGTCGTTTGGTAGAAATTATGAGTTCGAGTCTTTAGTTAACTTTTGATCCTTTTATTGAAGTTTTTAATTGCTTCATTTTATTATTGTCTTACTAACATTTTTATCTTTGTTTTCAGATTTGTCCAAAGTTTTGTCGAATGGTGTCATTTTCCTTTTGAGTCAAAGGGTTGAATGTTCCTCCTCACACACGTCACGAGCATTTGCATAACATAAGCTCTATACCCGAGCTCCGAACCTTTCTAAGTGGGGGCGAAAGCGACGCCTTCGTGAGAATTTATTCTCCGTGCAGGCCTAGCAAGTAACATTCGGGATTCATATACCTTATGTTTTCGTGAGAATTTATTCTCCGCATAGACATAAGGGAATGTATCATCTCGAATTGAACTCGATCCGTTTAAGCCTATAATGGGTGAGGATTTGAGGGTTTGGCAGCCCAAGGGGGCACTAACATCAAGGACAATTCGAGTACCTTTTTCTGTTAGAAACACAACTACGCATATAGTGAACCGTAGAACGATCACCTGAGGTATAGATATATCGAACCTATGTCTGTCAGTAGGTACCCAAAATAGGTGTACACAAAGGAGGAGCGTTTCTGAACCTTTTCTTTTTTACTTTAAATATTGTTTAATAACAGCATGCGAACTAGATACCATGTGGTTAGGATTAATTTATTGAAAAATCATTGTGGGTATATAACATGCTTGGGTAGATATCATGACGGGGTAGGTGTTATATT